AACATTTTGGGCCTAAAGAATCTGGAACTGCACCACCTGCGGTCCAATCTAAGCATAGTTCCAAAATTTTCTGCTATAACATCGTGCCTATCAATGACATCTTCAGCTTCAATCACAATAATACACGGGCAAACACCAATTCAAACTCAATATAAACCCCTCCAAACTCAATTGCAGAAAATATGACTTCAGCAACAGAGTGGTCAACGGCCAGAACACCCTACCAGACTCCATTGTTACAGCCTCAATCCCTCACAGCTTCAACCTCAAACTATCTACTGAGGACATCACCCCATTCCCAAGAGGTCCTTAAAGGTGGTGTGTATAAGCACACCAGCATGAATACCGTCCCTGTCTTACTATCCCCATTTATCTGAATTTATTTCCTTTGTTCTTGTTTATGTTCATACTTATACTCATTATCTTGTATATGTTTGACAAATAAATAAATAAATAAATATGTATTGATTCAGCTTAGTTTTAAATTTTACCATGTCTTTGCCCCTTCAGCTAACATTTTCACCAAATTAAAAGGAACAACGGTTTACAAACTGAACTGAGTCACAGGAAAATAGAGGAATTGTTCACAAATAAAAAACTGGATTCAGGATGGTGATGAAGGATATGTCTTGCTTTCACCAAAATGGCAAAAATCAGCACAATATTATTAATTTATTTGATTTTTATCCGAGCGTTATCGTTTTATAAATATTTCAAGGTGGAGAAAATGCATAATACTCCCTCCCCTATTTTCTCCATAACAACAATCCTGTCATGTGATTGGGCTGAGAGTCAGTGACTTGCCCAAGGTCACAGAGTCTCGATTTCTAGGCTAGTACCTTAACCACTAGCTCAGTGGTGTCAAACTCAAGGCCTGTGGGCCAGATCTGGCCCACAGGATGTTTAGATCTGGCCCACAGGGCCACCCTCAAAACAGTGAAGGACCAGCCCATGGTGCCTCTGCCAGTGAAAATGTGGCCCTCCTGAGTTCCATTTCCACTGGCAGAGGGTTGCAGGAGGCCATCACAACTGAAAACAGAGCTTGGGAGGCCGTTTTTGCTGGCAGAATGCTTGGGCCACCACAGGTGCCCCCAACACATTGAGCTGGCCATGCCCAGCCTGGCCACACCCACCCCAGTCCCACAAGGTAAAAAACAATCCTGATGAGGCCCTCAATGAAATTGAGTTTGACACCCCTGCACTAGACCCTACTGACTCTTCACTTTATACTACAAGTTCTATTCTTTTGAGATATGTAATATCACAAGACATGTACCAGGTACATATTTGCTTCATGACAGTCTAAGGCCATTTTTGTCCTCCTGCTGTCCCTTGATGCCACAGACTCAGGAAAAGAAATTCAATCTATTTTAACTGAATAGACTGCACTCTCTCTACAGAAGGTAGCTCTGACATCTGAAAATACTTTGGCCCTTATTCAATGGAATTTGCAGGTTCTGGCTGTGGCAAGGAGCACTTTTGCAAAATTAAGGCTACTCTTGGTAGCATTAATATATCCCTTGATTAAACTCATTAAATTGTTATAACCAGTTGCACTAAAATACACACCTGGCTGGAAAAAATGACAAAACAGCATATTGATCTAACACCAGAGATATTTTTATTGGGAATTTTACTTGAAGGTTACAACAGAGAACTGACATATTTGATTATTATTGTTTTAACTGCAGCTAGAATTGTGTTTGCTCAAAATTAAAAAAATGAGAAAATTCCATTAGAGGAGGAGGTGATTAAGAAAATAATGGAATGTGCAGAAATGAGTAGATTAATATTAGCAATTAGAGAACAAGAAGAAAAAGAGTACTTTAAGATATGGGATTTATTTTACCAATGGTTAGATAGAAAAGCAGGAAACTGAAGTATAACACAATAGTAATGATATGTTATAATTGATTATTCTGGAATGAATTATAATATGAACTAAAATTAGTAAGAACTGAGATTTGCTCTAGAGGATAATGCAGATTTGAAATCAAAGTCTAATGATGATGTAATAATAATATAATATGACATGGAAAGTTGATTAATGTAATATGAATGTAAATTTAAGTCTAAGAGGAAAAGACTATCGATATTGTGCACAAGAAATATGTACCAACCAACACACTGTATAATTGAAAGAAGACTTTTTGTTGTTTTATGTTTATGTTTGTCCATGCATGTTGTTAAAAATAAAAAACTTTTTAAAAATTGTTATAACCAGTTGCTTGTAGAGCACACCATTTTTGTAAGTAAAATGTAAAGAATATAGAAAAGGAGATATATTGGAATACAAATAAATTAAACAAGAGAAATAAATAATGCAAAAGACTACTAGGTTTAAATTAAAAAGAAAAAAGTAAACTGCATCTCCCCCTGCATATCCTCATACACCCATAGTTAAATACTTAAATTTTGGAGAAAATCTATCTCATTAGGAGTCAAAACCAACGATGGCTCATAATCAATTATTGTTACAATTAATTGTAATATATGTGTGATATTTGTTATCAGTTCTTATTTGAACCCTAAAAACTATATTCTACATATGCTTGAGTAATGCTTTAGTGTTATAATTGGTGCAGAAGGGATGTTGACTGATACCGAACACAAGGACCTCATGAAGATTGTTCTGCACAGTTGGCAGTTCCCGACTGGATACAATTAAGGCACTTTATTGACCTTTAAGGCCCTGACAATCTGAAGGATATTATCTCCTGTTATGCATCTATCCTGTAAGTAAGGCCTACATAAACCCTTTCAAAGAAGCTCCTGTTACCAGAATGTTGCTTAGGACATCCCTGGAAGAAGGCTGGTGGAAGTTTAGCCCCTAACTCTCTTAGTAGTAAAAAAAAAAAAAATGCAAAGAACTTTCCCTTTAATTGGTTATTGATTTTAGCATTCATTTCCATTTTTTTAAAATTTCAAGTTTTTAACTTATGCTAGTTTTCTTAAGTGCTCATTTGAGAGTATAAATAAATCAAACAAACAAATAAGAAAGAGGAAGCACTTAGATTGTAACAATTTGGATACTCAGAAATGTTTTAAAGCAATAAAAGAAGCCTGAAAGCCTATTTCTACAACAATCTAACTAAATTCAGTTTTCTGGAAAAGGGCTTGGTATCATCCAGCAAAATCAATACATTCAGAGAACTACCATATGAAATGCCAAGACAATAACCGAAAAATGGCAGCATAATTGTTACTTGAACATTTTTGCTTAGGCCTTTTTACAAAGAAAACTGGCTATATTCATTCACATGCTGCAAATGTAGCAAGACCAGAATACAAATGCAGAAAGTGCAGGCCAATGCAGGCCTATGATATTTTCAAAGCATACCTGAAACAGAGAGCAGAGGTTGGTTCTGCATAAGGAGTGAGTCTACTGGAAGATGTGTTGTATGGTCTGGCCTCTTTAAATGACATTAACTGTCAGGGTTCCAAATGACAACCCAGATGAAATCAAAACTCCAAGGCCAGAGGCTTCCTCAAAGTATAGATTTATTTAGCAAGTCATATTGGCACACCTGGTGAAAACCCGACTCTGAAGATCCCGGGTTTTCCCCAGCCAATTCAAAGTCCAAAGTTCTTTTCCCCATTACACACAAGCATCGAATGCCCCAATCAGGTCCTTTCTCCCACCCTAATGTCCTCTATCCACCCCTCTCCAGGTACTGGCGAGAACGTCCTTGGTTCACATAGAAAAGAATGTTATTTTGGCTACATGCTCCCCCACTATCTCTATTCCCCCCTCTCTTTCCCATAGCTCCATCCAGCCTCGCTGTAGCAACCCTGAAGATGCTTAAAAATGGCTCCAGGATTGACACCATTTTAACTCTGGGTGGTCAGGAAATCCATCCACCAGCGGAGACTGTGGAATCACTTTATGAGTTCCAGAGATCTTGGATTATTAAAGGCATCATGTCACACACAATAAAAGTATGTCCTTCTGTGCCAAGTGTCTCCACTTTTCTACATAAATCCTAAACTTAAACCATAACTTTGATACATGATTTTGTGTGAGAATACTGGTACTGGCTTGCTCCCTGGACATAGGTAAATTCCACAGTTTAAGCATGCCTATATGAATCTGTCTTGTCATGCATTCATCCATCCATCTATCCATTCATTCATTCATTCTGACAAACCAGATACCCTGAAAAGCAGAGTTGCAATGGCTTCTTTCTCAGCAAATCAAGGTGTCAAAGGCATTTTGTTCATTAAAAAAAAGTTATACCATTCTTGCCACCATCTGCCAAGAAGGGGGAAGGCTTACACAACCAAGGAATTTGTTCATGGAGTGAGGCATTCTTATCCATTCTCCCATTTCTGGTACCACTATTGATTTTATAGATTCATTGCAGAACATGGAATGCCTTTGTCCTTCTGCAAGTAAGCTCTCTTTAAGTTGATGGAGTACAAAATGCTTAACAGAAGTCACCAGTTCAGCCCTGTTAACTATTTGAGTCCAGCAGAGGGCACTACTACACTCTGAGATAGAAAAATGAAAATCCGATACTGTGAATAGAGTACAACACAGCAAAGACCACCACTGTTCTTGATCAGCTATTCTAATCCTCTGAAGAATTACTACAATGAAAAGGAACTGTTGGACTATAATATTCTCCTCAGATGTAAAAGCTGGACTGATTCAATTCCATAAGTTTCATATATATGAAAACCAGTTTCAACAGTATGACACCCTCTTACGTGGCTGTTCATCTGAACATTCTTCCCATGAAGTGTCCATTTGTGAGCATGTGGAAGAGACCATATCAGGAGACACACAAGTTGCATCAGGTATGAACCCTTCTGAAAATCAACAGTTTATAACATTGTTTGGGAGCTCTGCACCAAGGGTCTTATTGTCTCTGTCCAAATGGGAAGAAATGATCATAGAAGCAGTTAGTGAGGCTTTTACTTGGTTTAATTTACAACTAGTCAGATAGAAAAAATTAGCAACAACATATTAAACTGTGAATAATGTAAATAATACTTACCGACCACATAATTATCAGTCTCTGTGCAACGTGGGCGTTAATGATCCAGTAAGTGAATGGAAGAAATGTAATGTAGAAAACTTCCTGGCCCATTGCAGCAGAAATTCTGAACAGGTAGTAGGAGAAATAATTTTTTACAACATAATCTTGTGAACAGTCCTGCAAGAAAATTGTAAGTGTGTTAGTATATTTATAAGGGGAATCTCAAATGATATTCAATTTCATTAACCTTGGTTTTCCAAAAATATGGAAAATATGAACAAAAACTCGGCTTCTAGCTCTTTTTTTTTAAACTGGCAGGAAGTTACAAGTTTTCCTGATTCTGTTGCTGCAGTAGGGATTTGCTGAATTAATAAGAAGCCCTGGAAGCAAGGTAGCATATTTCAATTTCCCTTATGCTATGATGGTATCAGAAGAACAGCAAAAAACTTTCTACATTAACTGATATTATTAAGGATACTTCTTGAAGTTCACCTGTACCCAAAGACATATTCATTCTTTTATCACAACATAATGATGTTAGTGTTCAGGATATATTCTAAGCTTTTTGTCAATTGTCCCCAAAGCTGAGGTCAGTCCTTCTAACCAAGTCATGAACAACTTCCAAATGTTTCTAATTGGAAGAGGAAAAGCAGAAATAGAATTACCAGAGAATGAATAAAGAAAATGGGGGGGGGGGGAGAATAAGGAAAATAAGGGGTGGGGTGGAAGTTTGTAGGAAATGATGGATAGAAAATTTAAGAGAAAGGAAAAGGTTTTTGACAGTAGATAATGTTTGTTTCAAAAATGAAACAACCATTTACCTCACCATAGAAAAGTGGAATAATTTCTCCTCTGTAGAATGTTTTACACAGTACATTCAGATATTTGGCCAACAAAGTACGTTGGAGGTTCTTGAAGAGATCTTGGAATGAAGGTATCAATGAAAACATTCAAGAATAAGTCCATCATGAAACAGTGGGGAATCTCTCAAAGCCCACTGGATTTGAAAACAAGGAAATGCAAACAACTGAACAAACTTTGTCATGGGAGCCAAACAGAATGAGACACATCATCTGCTGGATCATAAGCACCTCATGCAACAATGAGAATTCCAATGGAAGAATATTAAATTTATTCCAAATCTCAGACAAAACTATTACAAGATGTCTTATTGTTGGAACACTACTCCAATCCTGACTACTAAAAATGGACAATTCTTTCTCTAAACTTTACTGGAAATGTAATCAAGAGAGCAGATCTCTTTTTCCATAATTGGTTGCAGTGCTGTAAAGCTCAATTCTGGAAAATGATTAATACTAACAGTTATAAAAATCTTAAAAGATGAATTCCCATTTCAGCCTCAATTTTCTTATTAAACCATGTATCCCTTCATAGTGTACTGAATTAGCATTGCATATGCTAGCTGCTGCAAGATTTTATGCCTTTCACTGAAAAGGTTCTTTGTCCATGGAAGAATGACTAACCAAATTTGAGAGTACGCTTCAATGTTTAGAATACAATTGTACCTTAAAAGTAAATTTGACATAGAATTCAACCATCCACAGATTTCAATTTAATGCATGGATTTGTACCATATGCATAATTTGGATTTTTTTCAGGTATGGAACCTACACTCCAATTGCACAGGATATTTAATCAGAAGAGTTTCTTAATAATGTGGATTGAATGTCTTTTAATTTATAATTCTACATGGTGATTTATACTGTGTTGACAGTGATTCTTGAGAGAGACTCTTGCTTTAGCTTAGAGCTTAGTTGTGATTTTTGGTTTTTAAAAACTGTATAACTCTGCTCACTGTTAGGAGTTTGATTTTGACTGGTTCATGATTAACTCAGCCTTCCATCCTTCTGAGATTGGTAAAATGAGGAGCCAGATTGTTGGGGACAATGGGTTGACTCTGTAAACCACTGAACTGTAATACTATAAAACACTATTAAGTGATATATAAATCTAAGTGCTATTGCTGTAGTACACTCATTTATATCCAATTAATGAAAATCATAAGTTCCACAATACTTTTAAATGTCTTGTTTATTCACCCATAGTTTAGTTTTTATCCCTTGTTCTCATCTTTTTAATAGTAGTCTACATATTTTAATTAAAATTAAAAAATGAAACTATTTTACTGACAGACGGAACAGTGAGAAACAAATACAAATACATGAATTCATTCAAGGAATCCTACAAGTAATTCACGAGATGCTAGGAATAGTATTGATTTAACAGAACTGTCATAAAGTTTGAATATTTCAACAGGATAGTCTCAATGAAACCTGCATAATGACATTATGGTTTATTTTCTTGAATTATCCAATGAATACAGAAATGGGACAATGTAACAGCATGTCTCTTTGCAGCTAACTTCATAATGCAGATGCTGAATGTCTTATTTGCAACAAAATCCATAAATAGAAAGGCATCTCAGTTTAGTTAAAGATTAGTATTTGGGTAGTTATCAAAATATACCATCCTTCTCTAGATGGAATTCTAAGACATCTATATTTTATGGGTAACTAAATAAGGCTCCAAATACCAACATAGAGCAAAAGCAAGAACAGATATAATTGAAACTAATTTTCTCAAGGTTTGCAGGCACCAGTGTTTCTCCCACCCTGCTCTGGATGTTGATGAGCCAACCATCTTGAAACAAAAGAAATGTTGATGTGTTCAATATACAGCAAGGCACAACATATGGTGTATAATTGAGATTTGTTTTATTTGGCATATGGTGCTATAATGAAGATTTGTTTACTCTTATATAATTTGTTATATATCTATTTCTAAGGTTTATATACAATTCAAACAGTTAACAAATACTTTTGTTTAATCAACTAGTTGATACTAGCAATATAAAATTACAAAGAAACAATCTTAAATTTCTTCCATTTTTTCCATTTGTTTTTATATAGTTATTTTAAATTCCTTATTCACTACATCACAGAACATGATTCTCACAGCAGCCTTTTTGCTACTTGTTAATTTTTTTTTCACACAGCTATATATTAAAATAAACTCTGTTCTTGTTCAAAGGAACAAGATTGACAATGACATCCATATAACATAAAACTAGACAACAGTACCAGCAGATCTCCCTTTTATTGCCCACAAGATTCCCTGATCCACTTAATTTTATTTCTATTATTTCCAACCCAACAGAATGATGGAAAAAATTAAGGGATTCAGAACTCTCTGTTTATCCACCAGAAGGGTAAGTCTTTAAAACTAAACAGAATTAGACCAGATCTGGTATTAGAGAAGAAACCCAGGGGGGGAAAGTCTAAAAGAGAAGCAGGTTCAGATCTCCCACCGAGTAGAGGGAAAAAAATCCTCCCCATGGAGCTGGTGAGCGGCTCCAAATGTTCCTGACTCCATTGTAAACCCCTGCTTTCTGACGATGAGACCCAGAATAGAAAGGATAAGGCCCACTGTGCACTTCTTCTGTGCACGTACTCAGAAACAAACAGAAATGCCAAAGAAGGGAAGATCAAAAACATAAACACATCTGGTATTTTTTCACATGGAAGAAAATATAGACCATGCTGTTAAAGCTATGGGAAGCGTTGTCCCTACTTTGTTTTGGTGGCCATTGTTATGAATGAGAAGAGATCCCATTTGACTAGCAAAAAGATACGGGTATTGTAGACTGTGCGGAGTGAGAACTGCAGCTGGGGAATTATCTTTCAAGTTGTCCTTCTTCTGGTAAATATGAGTTTTGTAATTCCCCACCCTATTTCCCAGGTGGAAGCCATTTTCTGAAAAGAGCTGAGAGTGTGTCAAGCTCTCAATATTCATGGAAGGTTCATAGATCCTTGGGAACCCTGATCTAAGTAACCATTTCATAAGGACCAAACGCAAGCAACTTCTGCAAATGTCCTGAATGGTGAAAAACAATTATTTTTGTTTCTTCTTTTCTCCTTGTCTTAGAATAAAAGTGCCTTTTATAAACATCAACTAAGTACCGTATTTATCGGCGTATAACACGCACAGGCGTATAACACGCATCTTCATTCTGCCTGCCTGCCTGCCTGCCTGCCTTAGTTTCTGGTTGTTTGGGAGCAGCTTCGGCTGAGAATAATAACTATTCGCCTCTTTTACTCAGCCGAAGCTGTTCCGATTCAACCATTAACGAAGGCAGGCAGGCAGGCAGGACGGAGCACTGCGGGCGGGCGGGCGGGCGGACGGGGTGGGGGTGGGGGAGAAACGGGCGCTTCGGGGAAGCTGCGGCGACAGGAAAAGCCCCCCCCCCCGCTTCTTTGAAGCAGTTTCTTCCTGTGCTGGTGGAGGAGCGAGAGAGCGACTGAGAGAGCTGACCCAAAGAGAAGGACAGGCTTCGGTTGCTTCCTCCCTCCCCTTCTTTCATTTGTGTCCTTGATCCCCGATCCCAGCAGCATTCACCGAAGGCTTCTTAACATTATATCGGCGTATAACACGCATACATCATTTGCCCCCTATTTTCAGGGGGGAAAAAGTGCGTGTTATACGCCGATAAATACGGTGCACACTTTTCCAAACAGCAATCAATGGGCTATCAAGGCATATGTGAAGCTTTGTAAGGAAGCCCAAAATGATGCAAAGCAGATCCATATGTTGCACTTCTGATGATTGAGCTAAGGAGAACAGCAACTCTAACTGGTAGTGTTACTTTGTAAAGGCAGTTGACAAGGAATTGTGTAGGTCACCTGCAGTGCATCTGAGGTTTGCCAGGCATCTGGCAAGCAATTTCTGAAAATAGGAAGCTAGTTTAGAAGAACAAAACAATCTTAAGCTCTCAGGACAAAACTAGAGACAAATTTAACTGTATAAATGCAATCAGTGTGATTGGTAAGCTGCTACTATACTTTGCTTAAGATTAATCACATGGAAAGCTGGATAACCTCAGACTTTGGGGCAGGAAAGAAGGTTGCCCTTTTTTTGCTAGGACTTTGCCAAATGTGGCCTTTCTTGGAGCAGATATTTCCATCAGATCCACAGAGACTTCCATCATTTGGAATGCAAACGGGAGCCTAATTTTGTCAGGATCGTGGTACGAAAAAGAAGAGGGATTTTTTCCCCTTCAACCTCTATACTTATAATTTAATTTTTCTCATGATTGCATAATTTACATAAATAAAAACACTAATTGCAATTGGCATGCTGCAAAATGTCTACTTTCGACCC